TTCTTCACTGTAAATTGTCTCTTTTTTCTGCTAGACAGTTTTATCTGTAGGTATTTATGTTTGCTTTCTTTCAATTATGGAACGAATAATTCTTCTTTTCTATTCACAATATTTAAAAGAAGAGTTGTGTTGTCTGCATAGCGAATTTACGGAATAGTTTTGTACCAATTATGAGTTGATAATTTTCATAAGTCTGGTCATTTTTTACTGTTCTTATTAAGCTTGCTGAAAATATATTGCAAACTAGGGATTATTCCAAAATGCTGACGTTTATAAGAGTAGAAATTATCAGTCAAGAAGTAAAGGCAGAACACAATTAATGATTATGATGACGAAAGAAAAGTTTAATATGACTAAAATGCCAATTTCTTGATAACACCTGCATTGATCATGATTATCTTTAGGAAGAAAAAAAAAGAATAAACAAGACAGGGGAAGATGAAAAAATAGATATAGATAAAAGAAATACGAAACAATAACACCTGTATGTGCTTTCACACTTCATTAGGTTGGTACTCGTTAAACAGAGATAAAAGCTTGCGCAAGTATGTAAACTCATCACCGAAATGATTCTATTTAGAGTATTTAAAAAGCATTCTGAAAAACTGCAACTTATAAAATGTTGATCAGCCGGGATCCTTGATTTAGTATACAATATACCATTACATTGAACACCTTGTAAGGTTATTTTCATTATCTAATAGTCCTCAAACTCATTTTCTTTCCGAATCTACTCATGTTTCTTTTCAGCTGCATTTGATCTGTTGTTTGTTAGATTGTTAGATGACTTCCTGTTAGAGTTACCACATAATGTTTCGTCTAGAGCAGCTCTGTATCTGCTACTCATGCTTGAGTAAATAAATATATTTGCAGATGAGTTGACTGCCTCTAAAAGCACACCTAATCCACCGAATACTGAAAGTGCATTCTTGTATTTCCCCACCAAAGAAAACTCGGGTTCCAATGACATGCCCAAGAAAAGAATACTAACTGGCAAAAAGCAGCAGACGAACAATGTCGAGATCATCAAAACCATTTTGGATATCTTCTGATTACGAATAGCCAGTTTTTGGGCTTGTTCATTAACCATTGACTGGTTCAGCCAGTGTGATCCTCTCTTCAGAGTAACCACTAAAGTTGTGGTGCAGACCATAATCACGAGGAAAGCACTACCTGTGATAGCCACGTTGTTGACTATATAAGAAACGGCCTCGACATGTTCGTGATTTTCTGCAGGTATAAGACCAATAAGAGTTTTATTTCTTTGGGGAAAAAATTTCCAGCCTAGCTTGGTGACCACGTACACTGGGGATGCACATACGAAGAGAATGAAGAAAATTAGTATGATTATGGTAGATACCCTCCGTTTAGTAAAGATTCCTTTCACCTGAAACAGAGAGCAACAGTAAATATTCTTTATAAAATATAATAAAATATTACCCAAAAGCATGTAGCAAGAGTCGACTAAATGGAAGCTTCCTTTAAAGTCGGAGTGTATCTGCCTGAGAGGCAAGAAACCAGCAGTCTGCATATAGATGATTCAGATCTGTAAAACGGATGCACACGCAACACTCAGGTTCTGGAACAGGACTGCAGTCTATAAGTGGATAAACAACCAGAACTTACCTCTTGAGTTTACAGCTGGTGAACGCGAAAAAGAAAAAGATTTATTTAAAAAGAATTAATGTGGTAGATAGTGGCATTTAACAACTAGCTCGCCCAGCTTTCTAGCGTAGTTGGTTAAACATGACTTTCGCGGCGGCTGGGTGACGAACTCCAAGTGGTCCAGGTTCACTCCCGGGGGTAGGCAGAAAAGCCACATTTATTCCAGATTTACGGTACTGTGACGTGACGGGTGGTTTAAAAGTTTATAATGTTGAGTATGGATGTTCCTCTCAACACATTTCCTCCACCAGATTAACCGAACTAAAATCTGAGCTATGTTGCTCTCAGACAAAGTCCTGGATACCCAAGAAAACAGCCATATTGGCTCGTTAAGTACTTTAACATTAGCTGAACTTGGTACCCACAAGAGAAGGCAAGGAATTTTAGATGTCTATCAAACTTAATGAATTATTAGACAGGGCAAGTGATTCCTCCGTCATCTACCTTCTCCCGGTGTTTTTATGAATAATTAAAGAATTATTATATTATTAATTGAGCCCCCACCAAATGTTATTCTATCCTAACAGTTTAATTAAACATGTAAGAACAGACATTTGGAATTTAACAAACTATGTAGTTTAAAACTTGACATACAGGTTTATTTACTACAATGAAATTCCCAGTTTGTTGATTTACACAAACAGTGACTGGTTAATGAAAGTGATACGCTTCAGCGAGACAAACAGCTCGGGGTTTAGAGTGGTATGATAATGATGATAAAAGGTTAACATAAAGGGGTTAACTCAACTTATAAGCCTCTGACAGCCGTGAGGAACTGTCAAGCTTGTCCAACTCTTCCTTGCCTGTTGTCTGCCTGTTTCAGCTTATTCTCCACTTCATCCCCACCTCGTTCTCCACATCCTTCTCCACCTCGTTCTCCACCTCGTTCTCCACCTCGTTCCCAGCTGGCCGAGTCTAACACAATGTAGGCTACTTCATGGATTGATCGTCACATGGGCGCTGTAATCATGGAAACAAAACACATACGTGTAGTATCTTGACTTACACTAAGAATACATGTATCAATTAATACAACATATAATAATAAGATATAGCCCATCACTCCTCCTCATATTCCACATCCTCTCCAGTCTAGTCTGAAGGTCTTTTGTCTTACATGGGCGTCACGTATCCTGCCTTCCCTCAAATGCTATGTCATGATAGTTGACTTTCTAAGTCTGTTGTCCGTCTTCACTCAGACTTCGAATTGGCTGACATAGATTTGACATAAACATGTGGCGCAGGTTATGTGCTGAACCCGCAAACAATTTATATGTGCACGCTGTCCTGAATATTATCTTTCAGTGACCGTGAATTCTATACACCCATCATTCTTCCCCTGGGGTTTTAAATCCCCTGTTTAGTTGAACACATTAAGTGATCACATGGTGGGCACACAAAACGTAGCAGCATCCCTGCACATATGGGCATGATTTCCCACAGTCCAAACTCATATTTTGGCTGATCATGGAAACAATATAATTACATTTCATTATAGCAAATGTCCTTGTTCACATTTTATTTTATACACATGAAAACATACACTGAAAAACATGTGACACAAACATACAGGAAATAGGAATAGTTTAGCAGTTCCCTAACTTGAGATACTGAATACTCACACAGAACTATTTCAAGCAGAATGTGCAGACAAATTAGGAAAAGGTAGTATAGACTAAGCTTAACTCCCTAACCTATGTATACAAGATTAAAATTAATATTTTCTCTCACCTGGGAACTTTTCCATCTATCGCCAAACCAGAGTACGACAGTAGGAATAAACTCACAGGGAGCAAGTACAGCGGGGATCTACAGTCATCAGTAGAAATTATCCTCTTTCGACACACGTTTCGGCCCACGATTCCTAAACGTATTCGGAGGTGGGCCCACCTGAGTTCATGAAGCTCAGGGCTGCTTCCCCGCCGCACAGAATTACCGGATGGTGTTATACTTTCGGCCAGAGACAAGACGACTTAGTGGTTTCGAAGGAGGTACTGTGAGATAAGAAGTCGCCACGGCAGCGTAATTAGAACAGTCCGCATGCCTGGACGACCGAGCGACAAGCTTACTTTGGTTTACCGGACACATGTTGGACTTTTATTAGCAGTTGGCAGAGAGACACTGGCAGACAATTCGTACACGATGGACTTTTCAAAGGGATAAGAAACTCTTTTCCACTAGATACCCGGACCAGCTCACCGAGGCCCGTCCCCTACGTTGTTGCGTTGCGTCCACAACCAGCTAGAGGCCCTTTCGGCCGCCTCTCCCAGTTTTTTGAGTGTTCGTTTCCGTTCATTACCGCGCAATCCTAATTCTTTAACCACATTGTAGAGCGAAGTGGAAACGAGGCCTCTCGCTCCCACTTCGACGGCAAATACCCGTACTGTGTAAGCCTCGTTTCTCCTCAAACCGGCTGCTAAATCACTGTATTTCTCGAGCTTATACAAATGATTCTCCTCCATCCGCGACTCAAACGGGACCGTCAACTCAATCAGGATGAGTTGCCGTTTTTGCGCAGAATGGAGAACGATGTCCGGTCGCAGGCCGGTTTTACGGATCAACTCGGGATACCGTTCATGTCCTGGCAGATCAACCGCCAGTAACCAGTCCCTCGCAGAGTCTAGTACAGATGGAGCGAATGCGTTTTTGTTGACTTTACCGATTGGAACCTGCCCAGCCTTGAGGAAACGAATGGGGGCGATACTAGAACTGGCTCTGGCGTTAGCCCTCATTCTAGCCTGGTCGACAACGGCTGCTAACTCCTTTAGCACCTTGTTGTGGCGCCAGGTATAGCGGCCTTGACCTAGAGCTTTCCTGCACGCGGACAGGACGTGCTCAAGAGTTTGCTTTGATTTGCACAACGGGCAAGTCGGATCGTTGGTCGCAGACCATTTAACCATGTTAACACCGGACGGTAATACATCGTACGCCGAACGAACGATAAAGCTCAGTCGCAGCGGGGTCATCCGCCAGATCTCACCCCATGTGAGTATTCTCGGCAATGCGCTCTCCAGGCTGACCCAATGGCCCTGCTGCGACTGTTGGGCTGCTTTCTGGACCCGAACCTCGTTTTCGTTGTCCCTCACCGTTTGTATCACCATGTCTCGGCGCTCTTTGGCTGAGGCCTTTGACCACCAATTGACCTTCCCGTGCCCTAGGCCTCGACGGTCGGTTTGTGTGTAACCCATTACCTCCTTCAATTTTAGTGCGTTCTGAGCAGATTCAATTGCATCGAGGACTCTCCACTTCTGACCAGTCTTTAGAGCGGGCTGGACAGCGATGACATTTGGGTCTGAGGACTCACGCAAAAGCATGGCGAGCCTAACTTTGCCGACTTTAAACTCTTCGGTTATCGACTTGAACGGAAGTACCAGCTTAGCCTGTTTGCAATACAGAGCCACGTCGGTCAGACAAGGCGGTGCTCCAATCCACTTTCTTAAGGCTGTATTGATTTTCTTTTCCATGGCTTCAACTGCAGTCATCGTCACCTCGTAGACTAGCAGTGGCCATAGAAGCTTCGGAATCAACATGAATTGGAGACACCATACCTTGAATTTTCCGATCAGCCTGCATCGCTCGATCGCGAGCAGGCCTGTAGCCAGTGACTCATGTATTCGCCGGACTTCCGCTCTGTCAGATAACTTCGAATCGTAAACGCGACCGAGACTCTTCACCGGTTCCTCCAGAACCGTAGGGATCTTGTTCCTTGCCACCGTAAAACTGATCGCCGACACTTTGCCCTTATGGATTGACAGACTCCTCGACTTCTGCGGTTTGAACTGCATACCGCTCCATTGGACCACCGCGTCCAATCTATTCAGGATCGTGCGGGCAGACTCCTCGCTGCCCGTTATAATAGTCGTGTCATCCATAAATGCGCGCAGTGGCGGCAACCAGTGATCCCCTATTTGAAGGCCCAGTCCGTAGCCGGCCGCCCCGTCTAACATGATCTGCATTGCCATGACAAACAGTATGGGTGAGATCGTACAACCCATAGCTATCCCAATCTGCAACTCAGTCCACCTCGTGGTAAACGTCGAGGTAGAGAAGCGCAAAGCGAACTTGGAGAAATATTGCTCGACCATTTGACTGATCTGTGTCGGTACGTGAAACATGCGAAGGGCTCGCCACAGTAGCCTATGGGGGACTGCCCCGTAGGCGTTGGCTAAGTCCAACCATATAACGTGCAAATTGGTTCTCTCATGCTTGGCTCTCTGGATAGCCTCCCAGATCATGGTCGCGTGTTCAAGGCACCCAGGAACGCCTGGAATACCACCCTTCTGAACACTCGTATCTATGTACTTGTTAGTCATCAGATACTGTGTGAGCCGGCGAGCCATGACTGAGAAGAATATCTTACCCTCAACATTCAACAGCGAGATGGGCCTGAATTGGGAAAGACTCTTCGAGTCCTGCTCTTTGGGAATGTAGACCCCATTTGCCTTTGACCACTCTGGACATATGTGATTGCGGATCCACGCTTGTCTCAACAAGACGTGAAGCATTTTAAGGATTTTCGGGCAACGCTTGTAAAGAACGTACGGAACACCGTTCGGACCTGGGGCAGACTTGCCGCTGGCTTTTTTCACAACGTCCTCAACCTCAGACCAAAGGGGAGGTACCAGTTTAAATGGTACCTTCGGCACCGAAGGCTGTTTGAGTCCGCTAAGGATCTCTGGATTGTCATCAAGAGGCTCTCTCCTCTTCTTATCAGAGTACATCTTGCTTAGATGTAGCTCAAGTTCTTTCTGACTGACAACCAGAGTCCCAGACTTCGGTTGCTCGAATAGACCTCGGGCAAACTGATACGGGTCCCTAAAGAATTTCTCTCGCTCCCTTTTAGTTCTTCGTCTGTTGTTACAGAAACGCTCGGCGCGACAGAGGGCACTGTGTTTGTTCTTTAAATGCACCCACACCTCGTACAGCCCCTCCCGTTCGCTGCCCGTAGCGGCTTTGAACTGTTTTCTGAGGGCATTCTTGTCTGCCCGACACTTCAGAATGTCCCTCTGCCTCCTGCTAGTATTCTGCTTGGCACCCGGCTGTGCCTTAACTACTGTCCCGAACTCGCGGGAGCAGTGTTCATATATTACATCACCAAATTTAGTAAGCTTGTCGCCTAGCGACTTCTTGTTTAGAGTTTGTTTAAGTACCTCACATAATGTAGCCTCCAACTTACACCACACCACCTTCTCGCTCGCAGGTGGAAACCTGATCTTGGAACGCACTTCTTCAGAAATCATCAAAGGTGCTCCTCCGCAGTCGACGTCATGGGCCTCTCCGGGCGAGTGGGGTTCACCCTGCCCGTCGTACCCTGACGACTCAGAAACTACCACAGGAGTGGTAGTTTTGCGACGGCGTTTACTGCGTGGAGCACCCTCGCATTTCATTCTTCCGGCATGCGTTCTTAGACCATGCAACCCCGTGAAGCTTTTCCCACATGTACAGAGCCAGCCCGGACGTTGGGCGAGTATCTCAGTCCGGGGGCTAGCAAAGTCGTCAACGAGGGTATCAGTTTGATTGGGCCCTTCATTCTCTCCCCCTTTCGGAGGGCCCTGGGAGCATATTTCATTGTGGTTTAACGCAATCGGAGGTATTATACTGTGTTAGGGGTGATCAACCCGGTCCACAGTCGACATCTGTCTCCAGATGTCAGTTTATCCCCCGGCGATACCGGGGGGCCAGTCTTTCCATAGGTGTCAAAAGGACTTTCCCGATAGTCACCAGTCTTTCCTGGTAGTCTTGTGGGCTAGCCACGTACAATAGGAATAAACTCACAGGGAGCAAGTACAGCGGGGATCTACAGTCATCAGTAGAAATTATCCTCTTTCGACACACGTTTCGGCCCACGATTCCTAAACGTATTCGGAGGTGGGCCCACCTGAGTTCATGAAGCTCAGGGCTGCTTCCCCGCCGCACAGAATTACCGGATGGTGTTATACTTTCGGCCAGAGACAAGACGACTTAGTGGTTTCGAAGGAGGTACTGTGAGATAAGAAGTCGCCACGGCAGCGTAATTAGAACAGTCCGCATGCCTGGACGACCGAGCGACAAGCTTACTTTGGTTTACCGGACACATGTTGGACTTTTATTAGCAGTTGGCAGAGAGACACTGGCAGACAATTCGTACACGATGGACTTTTCAAAGGGATAAGAAACTCTTTTCCACTAGATACCCGGACCAGCTCACCGAGGCCCGTCCCCTACGTTGTTGCGTTGCGTCCACAACCAGCTAGAGGCCCTTTCGGCCGCCTCTCCCAGTTTTTTGAGTGTTCGTTTCCGTTCATTACCGCGCAATCCTAATTCTTTAACCACATTGTAGAGCGAAGTGGAAACGAGGCCTCTCGCTCCCACTTCGACGGCAAATACCCGTACTGTGTAAGCCTCGTTTCTCCTCAAACCGGCTGCTAAATCACTGTATTTCTCGAGCTTATACAAATGATTCTCCTCCATCCGCGACTCAAACGGGACCGTCAAATGCTATGTCATGATAGTTGACTTTCTAAGTCTGTTGTCCGTCTTCACTCAGACTTCGAATTGGCTGACATAGATTTGACATAAACATGTGGCGCAGGTTATGTGCTGAACCCGCAAACAATTTATATGTGCACGCTGTCCTGAATATTATCTTTCAGTGACCGTGAATTCTATACACCCATCATTCTTCCCCTGGGGTTTTAAATCCCCTGTTTAGTTGAACACATTAAGTGAGCACATGGTGGGCACACAAAACGTAGCAGCATCCCTGCACATATGGGCATGATTTCCCACAGTCCAAACTCATATTTTGGCTGATCATGGAAACAATATAATTACATTTCATTATAGCAAATGTCCTTGTTCACATTTTATTTTATACACATGAAAACATACACTGAAAAACATGTGACACAAACATACAGGAAATAGGAATAGTTTAGCAGTTCCCTAACTTGAGATACTGAATACTCACACAGAACTATTTCAAGCAGAATGTGCAGACAAATTAGGAAAAGGTAGTATAGACTAAGCTTAACTCCCTAACCTATGTATACAAGATTAAAATTAATATTTTCTCTCACCTGGGAACTTTTCCATCTATCGCCAAACCAGAGTACGACAGTAAAATATACCTTTACGTCGACCTATGTTTGTTTGCCGGCAGGCTGCGATTAATGACGGGAATTCCACAGGCTCGAAGTATAAGTATCAATCTATTGTCCAAATTAAACTCCTCCCTTTCCTTAGTTTTTACCCAACCCTCAAGATGATGGCTTAAGCTCCGCCTCTGGAGTACCTATCAAATCAAATTGGCTAACCAGTGACCTGTCACTCACAGTGAACGGCCTACAGTACGACCTTGACCAAGATAAAACATTCCTAATTGCCCAAACACCTGTTCTCCCCAGAATTACACTGACGTGTTAAACTTTAAACTTCTCGTCGCCTCTATGTCTACAGTCCGCTCAATTCGTGTTAGGTAATCTTTTATGACCTACGGTCCAGCTCAGGTGTGATGCTAAGTTCCCCGTTCGCTGGCCTCTACAGTCTGTGGTCAGGAGATAACATTCTGACACTGGCATGAGAATAGAATTCCTAGCTACAGTGTAAAGTTTTAGGTAATATTACCCAAGGTTCAGTCGCTTTGTCTGGACTAAGGACTGGAAACGTTTAAATCAATACGGTTCAAAGTAACATTTGGTTTAAGGGCATAGTCTCTTGTCTCTCAATAACCAGAAGAACTTATTACAAGTACTAACTTCTGGAATCACTGAGATCGTTTCGTGACAGGTACCTATCATGCAATCAAGGCTGAAGGGTTCCGATATCCATAGTACCGAGCCAAAGGGTTTACAACTCATGGTTTCTGGATACCTTAAAAAAAATAGCTGTATCTAGGATATACACATGTCTCACTTTGAACAGAACAACACATGATTCACAACAGCTTTATTTCCACCTTGTGTTATCAGTACAAAACATGGACAATAAATGGAGCATGGAAGCAGAAAAAAAGAAGCCACCTGCGTAATGCNTGACATAGATTTGACATAAACATGTGGCGCAGGTTATGTGCTGAACCCGCAAACAATTTATATTGTGCACGCTGTCCTGAATATTATCTTTCAGTGACCGTGAATTCTATACACCCATCATTCTTCCCCTGGGGTTTTAAATCCCCTGTTTAGTTGAACACATTAAGTGAGCACATGGTGGGCACACAAAACGTAGCAGCATCCCTGCACATATGGGCATGATTTCCCACAGTCCAAACTCATATTTTGGCTGATCATGGAAACAATATAATTACATTTCATTATAGCAAATGTCCTTGTTCACATTTTATTTTATACACATGAAAACATACACTGAAAAACATGTGACACAAACATACAGGAAATAGGAATAGTTTAGCAGTTCCCTAACTTGAGATACTGAATACTCACACAGAACTATTTCAAGCAGAATGTGCAGACAAATTAGGAAAAGGTAGTATAGACTAAGCTTAACTCCCTAACCTATGTATACAAGATTAAAATTAATATTTTCTCTCACCTGGGAACTTTTTCCATCTATCGCCAAACCAGAGTACGACAGTAAAATATACCTTTACGTCGACCTATGTTTGTTTGCCGGCAGGCTGCGATTAATGACGGGAATTCCACAGGCTCGAAGTATAAGTATCAATCTATTGTCCAAATTAAACTCCTCCCTTTCCTTAGTTTTTTACCCAACCCTCAAGATGATGGCTTAAGCTCCGCCTCTGGAGTACCTATCAAATCAAATTGGCTAACCAGTGACCTGTCACTCACAGTGAAAGGCCTACAGTACGACCTTGACCAAGATAAAACATTCCTAATTGCCAAACACCTGTTCTCCCCAGAATTACACTGACGTGTTAAACTTTAAACTTCTCGTCGCCTCTATGTCTACAGTCCGCTCAATTCGTGTTAGGTAATCTTTTATGACCTACGGTCCAGCTCAGGTGTGATGCTAAGTTCCCCGTTCGCTGGCCTCTACAGTCTGTGGTCAGGAGATAACATTCTGACACTGGCATGAGAATAGAATTCCTAGCTACAGTGTAAAGTTTTAGGTAATATTACCCAAGGTTCAGTCGCTTTGTCTGGACTAAGGACTGGAAACGTTTAAATCAATACGGTTCAAAGTAACATTTGGGTTTAAGGGCATAGTCTCTTGTCTCTCAATAACCAGAAGAACTTATTACAAGTACTAACTTCTGGAATCACTGAGATCGTTTCGTGACAGGTACCTATCATGCAATCAAGGCTGAAGGGTTCCGATATCCATAGTACCGAGCCAAAGGGTTTACAACTCATGGTTTCTGGATACCTTAAAAAAAATAGCTGTATCTAGGATATACACATGTCTCACTTTGAACAGAACAACACATGATTCACAACAGCTTTATTTCCACCTTGTGTTATCAGTACAAAACATGGACAATAAATGGAGCATGGAAGCAGAAAAAAAGAAGCCACCTGCGTAATGCATTGTCTTCACAAAATCATCAGCAAGAAGAAAAAGAAGGCTTTCGATAATATTGGAAAAAAAGAAAAATCAAGTCGATGCGGATTTCAAACCTTAGACCTTCTGGTCACAATCTCTCTCTCTCTCTCTCTCTCTCTCTCTCTCTCTCTCTCTCTCTCTCTCTCTCTCTCTCTCTCTCTCTCTCTCTCTCTCTCTCTCTCTCTCTCTCTCTTTGTGAGTGTGTATATATTTACATATTTAAACACAAAACTCGCAAACATACATAGTATAGATCGTTAGATAGAAAGATAGATAGATAGATAGATAGATAGATAGATAGATAGATAGATAGATAGATAGATAGATAGATAGATAGATAGATAGATAGATAGATAGATAGATAGATAGATAGATAGATAGATAGAACTAACGAACGAAAAAACTTTATTTTCAAAGGGTTACAAATTGGGCACGCAGGCCCGTCTGACATTCGGCCCTTTTAAGCACTCGTTTTTCAGAGTACCACTGCCTGTTATCTAAAATGCATGTTATGGATATAGAATAAAAATATACATTATAGAATATAATACATTCATCATGTGTACACAGTCTTACACACTTTCCCATTCTCATACATGCACACTCATATACCGACATACCTAGCACATACATACATACATGCATACATACATACATACATACATACATACATACATACATACATACATACATACATACATACATACATACATACATACATACATACATACATACATACATACATACATACATACATACATACATACATACATACATACATACATACATACATACATACATACATACATACATACATACATGCATACTTACATACATACATACATACATACATACATACATACATACATACATACATACATAC